AGGCCAGCCTCCCAGTGTCGTGTTTCACTTCTGCAACATCATTAAGCCCATTTCTTTTATTTTTATTAAAGAATTTATTCCTTTTCTAAGGGCCTCCTTTGGTATCCTCCTAGGTTCTCTATCATTACTCTCGTTATTATTTCTTTCCCTTTTAGGAAGAATTTAGGCAATAGGAAGTGGTTGTCAAATCCTAAGACTTAGCTCTTGGTCTTTAATACCACTCTTCAGTTAAGAACAGTTGATCTCTTTGGAGAAATGGTTGATTCTGTGACCGTGATAGGAAATGTATCAAATGAGCTTAAAGCATCTTAGAGTGCCAGAAAGTAAGGAAGTGTTCAAAAAATAAAAATGATGAAGGCATGCTGAAGGGGCACGGAAACCTCTATTGCAGAGATGCAAAAGTTATTGTAGAGTAAAATACTAACTAGCAATAGAAGAAATGAACTTTTGGTATACATGACATGGATGCTTTAGTGTCAAAAGAGCCATATATAAGGGACACATACTACATACTTTATTTTTACTTCTCTGGAAAATACAAATGAAACTACGGTGAGAGAAAGCAGATCAGTGATTCTTTCGAGTGAAGATGTGGGATTAGGGGACAGTAGGGATTACAAAGGGAATAATTAATGCTCGGGAGTAGTGGGTAAATTCCTTGTCTTGGTGATTATAATTTCATGGCATGTCCTTATTTGAGAATTTAGCATATTGTACATTACAAGTGTGTAGCTGATTGTATGTCAGTGATATTTCAATTCATCTGTTTTGCAGAAACAAAAAATTCAGTAGGTTTCTCATCTATTTGTTTCTCATCAGTAGCATATGCAAATAAAACACACACACACACACACACACATTTTTACTTACCATTGTCTCTTCTCACAGCTTAATGGCAGTTGCCTTGAGACCATTATTTTTGAGTGGACAACCTCATTTTTGATAAAATGTATACATCCACCAAAGTCAGTTCACTCTCCTATCAGAGAAAATAAATTCTTTTCTCTTCTGCTTTCCAAATTTCTGACAGGAATTAGGAAAGATGTAATCATTCCCAGCTTTTTATGCTCCATTATAGGGTAGAACATGGAAGGAGAAAATGATCATTTTCTGGCAAAAGAGAAATCCAACAAACCACCTCATAAATATTTCTCATGTTAAATGTAAAGCATGTAAACTCTTTAGAACAATTCTGCATAAATAGAAGGAGCTTCCTAGACATCAGATTAATTATATCATTGTTGTTATTATGATATTTTCTACTGTATACTTAATATGCAGACCTATGCATCAGACATGAAATATGTCCTAAATGTGAAAGAAAGAAAAGAAGGAAGAAAGAAAAGAGGAACATGAGGAAAGAAAGGAATTAGAGAAACAACTGCAGTAGCAAAATTGACTAAAGGAACACAATAATAAGCAATGGACATGCAATTAAAATCCATTCCTTTCAGACCACAAGGTCTATACCTATACTTACAGACATATATATAGATACTTGTGGACGTGTGTGTGTGTGTGTTTATATTATGCATGTGAATTACTTCATGTAAGAAGCATTTCTCTTGAGCAAGAAAAAGTTCATTATGCCTTAGTACGGGCCAAAGTTACAAAATCTCTGTGGATGCACTGCTATTAAAATAGTTTCTCCCACACTGAAGTTCTGTGAGCTTGAGCAATCAGAAAATACGAGGGGTTGGAGTTTTAATGAGACTTCTGGGGAGATGGCAGATCACTTCGATGAAGACAGTGATGGTTTTCAGAAACGGCCCTTTGCCTCTTGATTGATTCAGGGCAAGAACACTTGGTTTTGGTCATGACAGGCAGAGAGACAACAACTGTTACACATGCATGTGCATTTTAGGGCCGAGGATTCACTGACTCACTACACAAAGTAACGCTTTTAAAACTGTTTTATTTACTTCTGTGGTCTTAGAACCTAGGGTTCTGGAGAAAAAAGGCTACAGGAAGATAAAATATTCACAGCGAGTTCCTCCTTATTATGTTTAATGAGAGGAAAGGAAAGTCACTTGCTACATTTGAGGAGGAAAAGCTTGCCATCCTCCACAATAGCACATCTCAATATTACTGACCCTGGTAGGACACAAGCGAGAGAGCATTTTACAAGCTTATTATGAGCTCAGCATAGACCAACCGTGTAGACACTGAAAAATGCTCATAGGGCCGAAGTTACATTTAAGCAAAAAGAGTGTCCAGCTCATAGAACCTGGCCGGCCCACTGTGCTTTACTGTCCTACTACCGCTGCTATACGACTCTGTGCTGGTGAATCACATTCGAACAAAGGATTGACCCATTCCTGTTTACCTTTGGTTTAATCCGATGCAATTGAAAACACCCCACACAAGGAGGTAGGCTCCCTGGGCTGTATTCTCTATTCTGATAACTGTAGAATTTTCATGTAGAAAGGCTTCAGCAACATGAGTCTGGATGGAAGAGCTGATGATTAAGGGATTTAACTTAAAGCTCTGTTTGCATGGGAAAAGGCACTGTTCTATTTACAGTGTATATTTCTTTGAGATAGCTTCAGGGATATATGGAAATTATGAACTTTTCCCATCAATCCAGTCCAGATGCTGCTACTACTGACCACCTAGTAATTTTTTTTTTTTTTTAGGTCTTTGCCATAAGGCACATGCACTTACTGAAATGACAGAGGGAGACAGCGAGAGGGATAGTGCAAAATCACCCCTCTGGGATGGATGACCACACCACAATTCCTTCTCCTCCATTCTTCTACTGGGATTTTGGGTATGGGTGTGCACACACAACTGGCAGGAGTTTCATGCTGCCCTATCTGGGACTTGAACTGCTGTCAGCCATGTGAGAGTCCAGTGGCTTAACCACTATGCAACCTGCTGGTCCCACCACTAGTAATCTGTAAAGTCTCAGAGTTGGGGCCAGCAGATGGTGTGGTAGTTACGGTGCAGGACTCCCACACCACATGGCTGACTGTAGTTTCCATCCTGGATCTGGTTTCTTACTTTCTCACTCCCGCCCTACCAAGACTCTCTCTCTCTGGTGAGCCCATGTGCCCTCTAGCCAATTAAAAAATAATAAGAATTACAAATAAAATTATATAAACAATTCTTTAAAAAATATGGCTCAGAATCTATTTCTTATCCTGCATTTTTGGGATATTAATATAGGCATCACAGGGTTTACATTTTATTTTAATACTTCAATAAGCAAATATAAATAAAATGAGATTTTGTTCTATTTTCTTATTCTTATTATAATTTTATGATGCATCATGTATATGTATGTAATTATCTAATGGAGTGTAGCTTGGTGAAGAGAATATTCAGGTAGACCAAAAAGGTACCTTCAATGCTTATTGTGTAGATTAATATCACTCCAAACTCTGAAGTGGGAAATATTTAAAAGGAGGCATTTTTATGCTTAATTTAGTAAAGAACTTAAATAGGTAGAATGATTTACCCCAGTAGGTTCCCCATCCCTTAGACGTGTGTGTATCCCGTGAGTGTGGACAGAATTTTTTCAGAGATGCTATGGAAAGACCGTCTCTACTAGTCAACAGGGGAAAGGACATGTGTGCTAAGTTTTCCATTATAAGACTGTACTGTCCTCAAAGAACTTAGATAAAATCCGTTCAATTCCCCAAAGTTACCAAGTAACTTTTAGAAATAACTCTTAGACTTCTAGAATAGAGAGGTGGATCCTAAGGAGTAGGAAGAACATCTAAGGCATTTATACTAGGAAAAAGGCATCTAAAATCTAATATGGATACCTCTCCCTATCTTACACGCATACACACACATACACACACACACATTTGTTTCATCAAACAAATGCTTCGTAGGACAAACCTTAGGGAAATCTTAAGGGGATGAATTCAGGTTTATAAATTGTTTTTCTGATAGTCTGTGAAGTGTCTTGCAGCTGAATAATCCTGAGAATCATTCAGAAGATGGAAAATCTTAAATAAGGGCATGGATGCTTATTCTTTAAAATGAATGTTAGGAAAAAACAGGGGGCAATAAAAGTAATGTAGTGATACGTAGAAATGGCAGGCAGCCTAACTTAGTCACCAAGCCACCCTCCTCGTGCAAGATTCATTAGTCTCCATATCAGTGTTGCTATTGAATACCTTTATAGAAATGCATGCACTGTAATGGAAATGCACCTGCACCTTATTATACAAGTCTTCTGAATATAAATAATGCAGGAGGCCTGTTCTTCACAAAAAGATGTTGTGTTAGAAAAAGAAAACTGTAAACAGATTTCTAGTGATAGGTATTATATATGCTTCAGACAACATCAGGCTTTAATGCATGTGCCAGGTTTTAAAGTGGCTGTCCCCCCCCACACACACACGCATGCACACATGCACGCACACTTACTGACATGCCTTTAACAGCATTGGGTTTGGATTTGGTTTTGTTTGGGGTTTTATTTTCTCTTTTCTTTTCTATTCCTCGGTGAATCTCTACAGAATCTGTAATGTGAGTGTTCTTTGTTCATGATATTGTATACAAGGTTTCCCTGAAAATTAATAAGGCTGTCTCCAACTCACAGCCTTATTTGCATACTTCTCCCCTACCAGTTAGGTTTTGATTTTCCTCTGTATCTCTTTATCTTCAGGCAATGGCTGAATGGTTCCTCTGCCAAATCCCAAACCAACCTTTCACATGGATCCCAAATGATATTCTTCTTCGATTCTGGACCTTGTATTTTGGGCATTTTTTGCTACAAAGTTCTTATGATTATTTTATATTTCCTTTTCTTTACAGGATGAAATATGTAAGTGTCAAATTAATGTGATAAGGCATTGCTAAAGGGTTAATGAAAATAGAATTCTAGAAGGATAATTAGGATTATAACCAAGAGCTTTCCGGTAAAGTTAAAGTACAACTAACCATTTTAGAGTATAACATTAAGCCAAATCTAATTTAGTAGAATGTTGAATTGATAAATATTGCTCTCTTTTTTCCTAACTACTGGGATTTTTTCTGAGAAGAACTCAACGAAAGAAACACTCAGCTGCTCCTTCATGACCTAAGATAATTGAAGTCTTTGATGCATGAACAAATAGAGTTGGACCTGCTAAGGATGAGTTTCCAATATCCTTTTTTTTAATTTCCCGTCTGTAACTCTTGCTTCCAGAGAATGCTCTACTGTATATCATTAGTTAATGGGGACATTATTTAGGGCCATTCTACAGTAACTCATCACTTTTGAGGTTTGGAATTAGCAGTTTCTATTAACCAGTTAAAGGCCCACATCATTTTCCCTGCAGAGCATATATTCAACTCAGCAATATCTTGATTCTTGCCCTGTCCCAAGAATCTCAATATTCTCTTCTCCTAGACAGCCTTATTTTTCTTTTATAATTGCAAAAATCTCCTGTGATGAGCAGTACTTACTTATCTTTCTAGCCAGGAGAATATGAAAACTCATATATTTTTACTCTCATAGATTAAATCAAATGCACCTTGAACGCCAACACAATAGCAACAGGAGAATCTTTTGGAGAGCTGTGACCAAAATTTTGAATGGTCATAAAAGGTACTTTGGGGAAAAATAGTAATGTCATTGCATTTGAAAGCTTCTATTGGTAATTTATTGTTGGAGAAACATCGCGAAAGAAATGCGGATGCCTCTATAACAGGTCACATCTCACATGTGTCCACAGGCACCGAAGTGCCGTGTGCAAGCTGTATGAAACTGAGAGCTGCCTGCTCAGCACAGGCTGCCATGTGTGTAACACCCCACCTCTGCGTAAGGAGGAGAGCAGACAACGTAGCAGGCAGGTCAGGAAATGTTTCTCTTCCTCTGCACGAATTTCAACTTCATGGTCTCAGAAAATGCAGTTTGCCGTTGGAAGTGGTACCTGTTTGCCCTCGTAGCTACTATTCGTATAATCAGAAGTAAAATATTCAAAAAGTTCATGAAAAGTGTGTTATGAAAAATCCATGCATGTAAAAATTATTTTGCACCAAAATAAGCTTATTCTTTTCATTCCATTATTCCGTGAATATTTTGAAGTCTCCTTGTATCTGTACTTCATGTGAATGAGAGAACATCGTCAGATCCCAACTGGGACACGGCGCTGTTTTCTGTTTGTGTGTTTGTTTTGCTGTTCTCTAGTCATTTTCTCCCTTCCTGTTTATTCGGTGGTGTTTTTCTAGAATGAATTACTTATACTTTGGAAAATGTACAGAAACAAATTAGTATGTGGATTTTCTCAGGGGAGAACTGGGGCCGTTATAAAGTTAGATAAACTCGCTGGGATAAGCAACGGGGGCTACTCTAAAAGGATGAGGGATTGAGATTACTAAGGTGTGAACAGGAAGGAAGACCATGATCTTGGGACAGGGGAAAGCGAGGGACTGCGGTGTATCCACAAGACAAACACAAGTGAAAGGCGTGACTTTTTGTGCGAACATCCCCACCTCTTTGGACTGGTGGTTTAGTCATATGCAGCATGCAGTTTTTATCGGGAACATTTTTCTTAATACATTGCAAACTCTATTTGTCACTCAAACTCTGCAGTAACAGCAACACTTCCATAGAAACTTAGTAAATGATACTTTCCACAGTAAATGATACCGTGAATACTGAAACACTTGGTGCTTGATTGGAGTATTGCCCAAGCCCATATTCTTTCCTGTTTCTGAAGCTTGTGAGGAGGGAGTTGCATCTTATTGAGAACTGGAACAGAATTGCAGGGTGCTTGTCAACATTAACATTAGTAATCCCAAGATGGGACCAGCAGATGGCATGATTATTACATTGCTGGGCTCCCACATAGTTCACGGCAGTTCGAGTCTTGGACCCGCTGGCTTAAAACTCACACCGAGCTTGTGTACATGCGTGCCCAAGATCCTGAGAGGAGAATGGAGAAGGAAGGGATGGCGGCATGGACATCCCCCTGGGGGTGATTTCTTGCCTTTTGTCTCTCTGGCAAGCACACATGCCCTATAGAAAAAGCTTCTCTATAAAAGATAAAAAGAAAGTAACCCCAAGAAGTGGAATGAATTCAGAAGTTCATACCAAAGACAAGAAACATCCCAGGAACACAGCTGACTGGCTGAAGGGAGACACCTCCCTACTTCTCAGATACTTTACAGGAAGTTCTTCTTTACATGGAGGTAAACTACCAATAAGAGTATACTTCTTGCATTCTTAAAGAGAAGTGACAGCAACGTTTAGCCTTTTATTAAATGCCTTTTGTAAGCATGGTGAACTCTCATTGCTGTCTTTGTGAAATACTGAGACATGCAGAGTAATTTTCTCTCTTTAAAATACCCCGAGACTGCCGTGCTTTGGGGATCTGTTCTGATTTCCCTTATTGACTTTATTTATTGGTACCAGCTCTCCAACTGACTTGTATCTGAATAGTAGGCCTGTCCCTAGAGATTTGTTCCCTTTTGTCTAATCTACTGACTCTCATCAGATCTGAACAAGAAGACAAGAGGTAGTGAGCTAGAATAACAGAAAAAAGACACTGTATTGATAAGTTGTGTCTGAACAGATTGTTTGTAAGTAGAGAACAGATCGGGTATTAGTTTAGATGTCAACTTATCTAGGCCGGCCGTTTTCATTTCCTGAAGCTCCCACAGTATTCCCTGTTTGGTTCTGTTGAATAGCAGTGCCCTGTGTCCATCTATTTCCTTGTTGCTGTCTATTGCTGAAATACATGTCCCTTGAATTCCAGGACAGGGACTGTTTGGATCATTACTTGTGGCCACAACTTACCAAAAAAGCTGGCACAAGGCCTAGCCACACGTGCAGGTGATAGGGCAGTGCTGCCCAAGGCTGGAGCCATATGGGAGATCCCTGGTTTAGACCCCAGGTCAACCTGAACACACTAGACCTGCTTGTGTGTGCCCATGATACTGGCTGGCTGCAGGCTGGCAGAGGATGATGGTGTGGCAAGACGCCATCCAGGATATCTCTCTTTTACAGAAAGAAAGAAAATAAACTGGCAGAGTATAGGTTTTCACTATCATCTCCTGTTTCTACGTGAGGAGAAATACAGCATTTTTTAAATTGTGCTCTCCAGCTCACTCTTATAGCCATTCCCCACATTCATAAACCCACCTCCTGAACCAGCGTTCTTATCTCTGTGTACACACTGGAGTCTCAGAGGACACTCTGCAAAGTCTGGGACCACCTAAGAGCAGTACTCAAGGGCAATGCCTCTGGACGTGTGACCTGTGAAATACTTTCATGTATCTATTATTGCACTGGCTTATGTATTTATATACTTATTTTTATATTTAACTCTTCTAAGTAGTTAAAATGCGCAGCCAGGATTGAGACCCAGAGAGTGAGGCACATCCAGTAGGGCCCTCACACTGCAGTCCTTCACAAGTGTCAGCCAGCCATGATCACGGCCTTGTGTGGGTGTGCCTGGCACATAGGGGAAGGCCCTGGGATTTCAACCCAGGACCTCACCACGCAAGCCTCGTTATGTTGGTGCTGCTCATGTCTGGCTCTTCTCTACTTTGTTTTCCTGCTTCATTAGTCCACCGTGTATCTTATAGTACATGGACCATTTCCTCATGTTGTTATTTTGTCTCTTTTCTCCAATTTGAGCATTTTTTGCGGCTTTTTTTTTTTTTGAAAAGTGAGCATAAATGATATACTTAAAACTTGTACTTCATCTTAATTCTGGGGGATGCCCGTTGAGTAGGAATAAATAACTAGAAATATAATAATGACTACATTTTGACTCTCAGCAATCTATCAAAAGTTCCACTGCCTTTTGGATTTTACTGATATTATACGAGTTGCTACATTTTTGTGAGTAATGCCTTTAGCTTCAAAAGTATAATACCCTCTTGAATGTATTTGCAAAGAGGAATTAAATAATAAGTAAACTTTCTTTGGTAGAATAACTTTGCTTTTACTTTAACTCTTTGGAAAGGGTGGCCTTTGAACTTTTTTCCATACTGGTTGTCTTCTTTTTTCAATTTTAATTTTAAAATTTTAATTAATTAATTTACATTCATTCCCTGAGCATCATCACAGCATACAAAATATAACTTCCTATCCAGAATATACTGCATAGTGGCTTAATTACCTGTTATCATCAGTAATTATCCATTTCTAGTTTCATAAATATATGTGTGTGTGCACATATATATGTATTTCCCCCTATTTCTCACCCTCTGCCATTTCTCACCCTCCTCCCACACTATCTCAGGTGTCTACAGTTGTTTTCCAGTCCTTTTTTTGGCCCACGTTTTATTGATTAACAAAATTTCTTAAATAATCTAACTACTTCCAATAGCAAGTTCAGCTGGTATATACATATCTGTGAATACATGTCTGATTTCAGGTATGAAACTCTGAGTAGAATGAATATAGTATAAGGTAGCACCTAGCTGATGCTATATAGCTTACTACGATCATTAAATAGGAATTTTTCAATGTATATTTTTTAATTTCAAGAAAAGCAGTTTTGGCTTTAATAAATCATTGAATGTTAAGGAACTTTGCTTAAAACCTAAAACTAGGTTACGATTCTGTTAAAATAGTAGGTACAGGAACCTATCAGCAGTTGTCTTCTTTTGAACTATATGGTTTTATTTATTTTTTTTTTTTTTTAAGACGGGACTATTTGTCCAATACTGAAATGTAGCATTGGTTCTATCAGAAGTTGTATGAGTTCTTATCACATCTTTTAAGCCCCAAGAAAGGGGCAGATATTTAAACTAACCACAGCCTCCTTTCTTTACAACCCTGAATTCCAGATGTTGATTGATTGGAGGAAATAAGCTACAACTGGAGACTGCCTGACCAGCGAATCACTGCGGGGCCAAGGAGCTGGTTTCCCGTGTACAGAGAGAACAAGTTGCTATTTCAGAAGCTGCTTAGGTTTGCATCTGTGGCCTCAGAAAAAGTTGGTCTTGGTGGAGGGCACCCTGTCTTGTTTGAGAAGCATCTTAATGGGAAGGATTAAAACAAAAGTGAAGTAGCTCTGTAGGATAAAGTAACAGGAATTAGATTTGTTCTTTGGAGGATCCAAGGAAGCAAAAATTAAGGGAGAAGTGGGAGGATGGGATTTTGGTGTTATAATGGGGTTATAATGGAGGTTGGACAGTGGGAAAATTCCTCTGTGTAGTCTAGGAAATGCACTATAATTATGCATTGATCCTGGTAGCCAAAGATAATTGTCCCCAAACAATTTATCTAATTCCTCCTCATCTTTCTTTTAAAAATCCCTTTCTTTTACCTCCCTGTACCTGACTGAATATAGTTCTCTAAGGTAAGCAAGTTCTGCATTGTGGAGCCTATTCCCAAATAAACGTCATTTTATTTTGGTCTCTCTTTGGAGGTATTTCTGCTTGTTATTTAAGTTAACAGACCAACTCTTTAACTTCTCTAAGTGCCCTCATTAAGCCATCTCCATGACACTCCTATGACTTAATTAGGGCTAAGGGTAAACTGAGGCTAGTTCCTCAGTCATTGAACCCTGTGATCCAAGACTCAAGGCTATACTTCAGCTGCTAACTCCTAAGTCCCTAGTTGCCACCAGTCCCTACCATTCTGATATGGGGTGTATAATTAGGTTATTCTGGGGACTACACTCACTCTTTCCAGACTTTTTATTTAGCTAGCTTAAGTTCTACGTTTATCATAAACTTCTATCTGCCTTAAACTGAAATGCATTTTATATAAATTTGTTAGTTCTGTGGAAGAGTTCCATATAAATAGTGCTATTTTATTTTTGTGCTTTATCATATATTCCTGTGAATCTGAGAAGACAACTGGATAGCCCAATTCACCTCATACATTTGGATCGCTTCTTCAGTTTTTCATGGGAATAGTTTCAGCACTTTATTTGTTAATTTAAGCAAATGGCTTTCTCTTCAGTGTAAACAGGAACTAGTAGGACTGCTATGCTGTTTAATTAGCCAATCATCCCTAGTATATCAGCATAAAAATATGAAATTATAGCATATCAGTGAATTTATTCTGGAAAGAGGTGGTAAATGTATCTGTTTCCTAGTGCTGTTGTAATAATCACCACTAGTGGCTTAAAACAACATACATGTATTAGCTCACAACTCTTGAAGTCAGAAATCTAAAAAGGGTCAGAAGGACTGTGTTTCTTCTGGAGGTACTGGGTGAGAATTTTGCCTTCTTCAGCTTGTGGGGTCTCCCTGTGTTCCTCAGCTTGTAGCCCCTCCCTCGGCTTTAAAGACAGACTCAGAGCACCTGTAAATCTCTCTTTCTCTGTGTCCTCACCTTCTGTTCTCTCATGACCTTCTCTGACTGACCTTCTTGCTTTCAGCTCACAGGATCCTAATGATTGCATTATGACCACCTGAATAATGTAAGACACCTTCTCCATCGCAAGATCCATAATGAATCATACCTGCAATGTACTTGTTGCCAAATAGGGTAACATACGAGACACAGCAAAGTATAAAAGAAAATGAAATTAAAAAAAAAAAAAAAAATAAAAAAAAAAAAAAAAATAAAAAAAAAAAAAAAAATAAAAAAAAAAAAAAGTGTTCATGGAAAAATGAAATCTAAGAATGAGTTTACTTTGATGCAAAAAGAATTTTAAATACATGCATAGTTTTTTTTATGATACAAATTTTTCCATGCACCTTTTATATTTACAGATTTTAGGGGTTAGAATGTGGAACTCATTGGGAGACTATTATTCTGTCTACACAATGAATGAAACTTCCCTGTCTGTATGCAGACAGTAGAACAACTGTGGAGGCTTGCATGACTAGAGAACCCTATCTCAGTGTTAAATTATTAAACTCAAAAATGGCTCCATGGAATAGCTCCAATCCCAGGGAGCCAATTGGCCTAATGAAATAAGGATATGGTTTCCCCAAACGAGAAAATCTCAGAAGATAAGGAATCATTTAGTAAACAGCACTGTTCTTTTTCTTCCTGCTAGTCTTCAAAGAGAGCTTTTCTCACCTAGAATATTTTACCATAGCCTCATTTTTCTAATCATCCTTCAGATCTTACAGCTAATTAATGTTGAAGCGGCATTGTCAGATGGAATTTTGCAGGCCTGATGATTTTGGACAACACTGGGTATGTTAGTACCCCATAGACTCTGGAGTTGTTCGCTGAGTAATTTTAGATGACTAATAACCTCATAATTAGATAAATAATTGATATGGTTCAATTATACACTCCCGTACAACTTTATTAATATTCGTGTTTGAGCTGGAGATGCCTCTCTGCCCTTTACCTGCCTTGGAGAAATCGTAATCCTCCATGGGTTTGGCAGAACGTGCTGGAGAATCTTTGCCAAGGCCCAGGATATGTAAATTAGCCATCTTGTTCTGAGGAATTAGCAGCTGTTGTTTTTAATTATTAATGAGATGGCCAGAATTTTCTGTAGGAAAGTGAAACCATGTGAATGGGTTTGGTGTTCTTGTCATTTAAAATCAATTTTGTATTCAAGAACCCTCAACCAAAGTAACTGAGTTGACCAGAAGGTAGCCAGAGGTCTGTTGGGTTCATGGTTTGTTTATATCTCTAGGCTATACATAGGGATATGTCCTTGTATTCTTCTAGTAGTTGGCTTTGCTGGGCAAGACTATAGCTAATAAGGTGTAATTACTATTCTTGAACTATTATTAATTGAAATAATAAATAAATGTACTTTTCAAATGCAAAAGATTTTCCTATTATTACTTATTACAATGTCAATAAGACAATAAGACGTATAAAGTTGTTTCATTAATGGGAGAACATTATAAAAATATTAAGTTATAGAAAATTTTACATATATGTGGATTAAGTAGTAGAAAACAGTAGGCTATTATACTATGCTAATTTCTATTGTGCAAACACAATCTTAAAACTGTTTCAACTGAGACATATAATTACTTTCTTTGCTTTCCTTTTTTTTTAAATTTAAAATCTGTGACAGATCTGAATGCCTATTAAATATCGGGTTGTCGGAAAAGTTATGATGCTTTTTTTGCATAGAAAAATACGTATGACTTTTCCAACAGCCCAATATATCGATGATTTCTTGGTAATAGATTTGAAACTAGAAACCTTGTTGTTTTTATATTGTTGTTCTCTCCCTTCACAAAATTTTAAATCTAGACAACTGTGAAATACATCTCTCCATTTCTGTCATCATCCTCATTACCCTGGGTTAGGGTGTTACAACATCACACTTAAGTTCAGAAGCTTCAGAACTAAGCATTTTCCATCCTGCCTCTCAGTTTTCCATACTTCATTCTCACCGCTTGTAAAAAGTTTCAATACTCTTTTCATTAGACTAGTGTACTGAAAAGGGCCCTACATTGCAACCAACGTGATAAGGCAAGAAAATGAGGTAAGGAAATATTATTATTTAAAGGTAATATAAATGTTCTGAAAAATAAAAAAAGTTCAGAATTTAAAGTAACTGTTTATTTTTAAATTTCTATCCATTAAATTTGTAGGAATCTCAGACTAAGTTTGAACAGCCAGTGCTGTGTACAACTTCATGGAGGCCCTCATAGGCCACAATCCATATGTGATTTAACAGCTCCTTCGGAGGCCTTTTGCCTATGATTCCAAGTTCCCACATCATGCCCTGGGTCCTTGAGGCCTGGCATAGGCCTAGTGTAAAAGGAAGTTGGATCCTACATTGCCAATTACACAGTTAGAGCCATGGACCTGGCATCTTGAGAAAACATGTCGGATGCGTGTGCATGTGTGCCCCAAATCCCAAAAGCAGCCCTGTGAAGTACTTTTGCTTTGAAAATGTGGAGCAGTTTAGGAGAACAAGCAAGGAATCACAGCTGTCCTCAGTTTTACTGTAGTATTATTGAAGTAAATTCTTCTCACATTCTTACTTGGAACGATGAAGGTCATTATCAAGCGTGTGTCATTAATTACATTTTAGACATCATTTTTCCTGTGTTGTGTTTATTCTACAACTTGGAGTGAAGTAGTTAGTGCACTTCAGAATTTTCTCCCTAGTAATTTGAACTATTAGTACTTGAGAAATACTAAAGTGTTTTCATTCTTTTTCTTTCCAAAGCACACTTTATTTTTGGAAGTAAATTATTTTAATTATTTTGTGTTATATGAGGTGGGGTATAAGATAACTTGAAGGAAGGTTGTGATAAGTTAGAGCTATATAATATAAGCACAAATCAACTACTAAAAAGCAAAGAAAACAGTGTTTTACCAATATTTAATGTGTTTTTAGTAATAAGGCAAGATTTAGGATCTTGCTATTTGTTTTCCATGTGTCCTAAAAATCTGCCCATTTTATCAATCATTTTTATATTTTAAACATTTTCATTTATATATCATAATCTCTTTTTAAAGGAGAAATATTTCTTTTTTTGTTTGCTTGTTTTAATTCACACTTGGAAAGAAATTTTCCTGGAAAGATCATAGGTTTGTTAACCCCACTCAAATTATCTTATTTTCAGATGGTGTGTGTATATGTATATATATATATATATAAAATTTTAAAAGAAATTTTTGAAGCACTATCATAAGTTTTAAAAAGTCATAGGTACTGCATTGCAGCAGATTGGGGAAAGAAATTGTCATATGTTTCATGGCCTTAGCACAGAAGTGTATAAGCAATGAACTGTCTCTCCACTCTGTTGATTCAAATTATATTAGTCCAGAAAGATCAAATTAGATGATTACCACTTTATAGAGTTCTAAATGACAGATAGACCTTACAATATTTTTCCAGCACTTTAAGCCTTTCTTAGGCAGATGTTTTCAACTGATCAAGATACATGTCAAGGTTTCACATACACCAATAAAATATTTTTATGGGGCCAGTGAGTTCTCTGTGCTTTCTATGAAATAATACCTATGTTATCTTGCGTGAATTTTGCAATTGAACAATTAAGTAAAAGGGTCAAAAGTAGGTGACGTAGGCTGGGCACGTGTGTGTGCGTGCCCAAGAATGTAGGCTGGGCGCGTGTGTGTGCGTGCCCAAGATCCCAAGAGGAGAATGGAGGAGAAGGGGTTGTGGCGTGACCATCCCCCCTGGAGGGTGATTTCTCACTTTCTGCCTCTCTGTCTCTCTCTGTCTGTCTGGCGAGCGCATGCGCCCTATAGCAAAAACCTCTCAAAAAAAAAAGTAGGTGATATAAACAATGTTTAAGAACCAAGAATGTAACAGAAAATTTTTCATCAGCTGTTGTTGTGGGGTCTTTGATTTACTGCAGAAAATGTCATTCCTTGATTTTGACATTCAATTAAGATGATATAGAAGTATGGTAGATATTATTTTTGGTGTCTAAATGTATGTTGTAGATGTCAGTTTAACAAACAAATCTGTGGAAATGATCAATACTACCAGATTAGAAACAAGTTGGTCTGTACAAAGAGACACAGACATGCTCAGGGCAGGCTTGTTAACAAAGACCACTGATCAGAGGGTTGAGATGTTCCATTGGTTGGAGACATTTAAGATCATGCAGAGCAAATATTTTCCCTGAATACTCCTTCTGGGAGAATTTTAACTTTTAATCAATTAGATGATTACTGATTAGTCAGAATGCTGAGAATTCTTTATGGCTGTAAGAGCAAAGATAAATAATTGGGGGTCGGAGCTGGAGATGTAGATTTTCCATCCATATTATTTAGATGTGTTTATTAATATCTTAGGCAATTGGAGTGAGGCAGCGACCAGCTGAATCTGGACATGATCACGGTTGCCCAGTGATGATCTTGAACCTCAGTGTTCATGCTATTGCTGGACATGGAAGGTAAGTAACAGCCAACTCTACCAATAATGACTGAAACTTCAGCATATGAAGTCCTCCTTCTCCACACCTATATTCATGGCCCTTAATTTTCCAAATTCTCACACATAGGAAGAGCTAATAATTTTAAAGTACAGCTGTCCTTTGGTACCTGAGGAGGGTTAGTTCCAGGACCTCTCTCAGAGACAGCAAAATCTCTGGATGCTCAGGCCCAGCAGATGGCATAGCAGTTATGTCGCTGGCCTCCCACATGGCAAAGCACAGTTCAAGTTCCAAATCCAGTCGATTCAAACTCATGCTGGATACATATATATGCATGCCCAAGATCCTGAGAGCAGGATGGAGGAGAAGGGGATTTCGCATGGACATCCCCTTTGGGAGGTGATTTCTCACTTCTTTTTGTCTTTCTGACAAGCACAGATGCCTTACAGCAAAACAAACAAACAAACAAACAAACAAAAAACCCAACAACTCTCAAAAAACAAAAAATCCCTGGATGCTTAAACACTTTGTGGAAAATCATGCAGTATTTGCACATAACCTACACACACCCTCCAGTACACTTTAAGTCATCTCTAGATTGCTTATAATAGTCAACAGAACGTAAATGCTATGTAAATAGTTGTCCTACTTTTTTTAAAATTTGTTTTACTTTATTGCATTTTTTTCTTCCAAATATTTTTATTTTTGTTTTTAAGCAAGTTTTTTTTTTTTGTTTGTTTGTTTTTTTTTTTTTTTTACATAAGGCTCATGTGCTCACTAGAGAGACAGGAAAACAGAAAGCAAGAAACCACCACCAAAGGGAATGGCCATGCCACAGTCTCTTCTTCTCTATTTTCCTCTTGGGATTTTGGGCATGCACACACACACGCACCTGGCACAGGTTCTAAGCTGCTGGGTCCAGGCCTCGAATTGCAGTTGACTACATGGGAGTCCAGTGACATAACCATTATGCCATCTGTTATTCCCCTTCCAAATACTTTTGATCTGCAGTTGGTTGAATTAATGAATGCAGAATTACATTCATCTTTTTAAGTGAACTAAGAATCAAATCCTCGGAACATGTAAATGTGGTTCTGGGTCCATCACCTTCTGGGATGGAGGCACAATCGTAATGCTGAGAGTCAAGTTCCAGATGACTTGATTTTATAGACTTGGAATTTAATAATCACCAATAATCGCAAACAGAAGGAAAAGGTAAGAACACATCGGAGAAGGGCCCTGCTGGGCACAGAGTAGCAGCTCCAGCTATCCCTCATCACCTCCAGTCTTCTTTATATTGGCCCCATTCCCATAGTCTTTCATGTTGGCTATGACTTTACTACTTGGAGAAGACCTTAATCTCCCCAATCTGCTGGTAGAGATGACAATCTGTCTTTCATTATTAAAGAAATTGTGATAATTAAATGATGTGATGCCCTAAAACACTATGAGGTCAGAATGGAGCAATTGAGACAGTACATGTTTTTTAAGCTGATTTCATTTAATGCTCTCATACTTGCAAGAAAAACCATAATGCTTCTTTTCTCCACTGGGAAGTAATTTAAAAACTCTCCAAATCCCGTACAGATTGCATATCCAATGATTAAAATGATGAGAAATATAGGGCTAATCCTATAATAGAAATATGTCAACCTTACTTAGGAAACTTGAAGTGTGAACCTCTCCCTCCTACAAGCAGACACTGGGAGGAGAGCTGCATTCTGTGAAGTCATAAACTGTAATTTCAAAGTTTAAATTAAACCCTTTGGAATAAAAAAGGAGATCTTGAACTAAGTTTGATGTGACTGCTATAGAGAACTGAGTTGAATAGTTTGGCTTAAGATAATAAAAATAGCTTGCTTTTGTTTTTGTGTTCTATGTTGATAGATAATGGAGAAAAGGGAAACAATTAAAAGAACAAGAAGAGGATAGAAATGGGAGACTAGTCAAGTCACTTAGTATATGAAAAAAAAAATGCTCACAAGGACAAGAAAGACATTGATTGTGTCATGTGAAGTTTTTTGGAGTTGTGAATTATAAGCCTATTTAAGCCTCTTTCTAAGGCAGAACAAGTTTTCTGTCCCGCAGAATTAAATTCTATTATATTGTGTGCACATGTATAAGAACATGAGGGGGATGATTGGGACAGACAATAGATTATAGATCGATTTCCCGAGGAGTTTTTCTTTTAAGTTTTATTCTATTTATGATGGTACATGTGCACGCATGAGAGAGAAAAGAGACAGGGAAGGAGAGAAGCACCCTCCACAGGTTCTCATTATACCTGTGATTCCCCAATCACCACCCTCCAGCTCGTAAGGTCATGGGCATACATGTTTTCAGGCCCACCCAGAGATCTGAAACCATCATTGGCCAAGTGACTTTCAGCAATGTAGTTCAGTTTGCTACAAACTGCAGTACCAGGCTGGACCTACCCATGGAGTTTTCATAGACACCATTAGAGGGTACCCTTTCTATAGTATGCCTAATATAGGTTTGACAAGGAGAAGCCAGGTCTATTGAAAGACAAGACACTGGCAACCACAGTTGGACAAATACCAAGCAGGAAGGCCCTAGGATAGGTCAGAGAAACCTTGTGTTTAAACAACAGTAATGGGCAGCTTGACTGGCTGAAATTGATTGAAGAAGACAGTATCACAAGAGAGACTAACTTGAACTGTTCATGTATTTAAAAAAACCACTCTGACAACTATGTGGAAAATAAATTGGAGCGGTAGACAAAACTTGCTAAATCAGGATGAGTCTTACATTAGAATATGACTGAAAGTCAACGTACCAGTGTCTAGCAGTGTACATCTTTATTAATCAGAGTGAGCATTCAATTTATTAAAAGAATGAGCAAATAAAGGGATGAATGAAAAAAATAAATACTATATAAACAATTATTTAGCTTGACAGTATTTCCCAATCCAAAATACATTTATAGTGTGTGTTCTCACAAAAACCTAAAGTAAGTTTGTGACTGGTGAAAATTATGAAAAGCAGATTTTATCAATAGGAGACACCCTCCTGATGAACTGTCAGGAATAATGGAAAGAGTTAGTCTCTCTGGTTTCCTTTTTTTTTTTTTTTGAGAGGTTTTTGCCATAGGGCGTGTGTGCTCGCCAGACAGAGAGAGAGACAGAGAGACAGAAAGCGAGAAATCAACCCCCAGGGAGGATGGCCACGCCACAATCCCCTCTCCTCCATTCTCCTCTCAGGACCCTGGGCATGCACGCACACGCACCCGGTGTTGTTTTAAGCCACCGGGTCCGGGACGCGAACCACAGTCAACTACATGGGAGTCCAGTGACATAGCCATTATGCTAACTGCTGGTCCCTCTCTGATTTCATTTTTAAGTAGGACAATCTCTCCTATGTACTGTGGGTTTTTCCACTAGACTAAAGAATTAGTTTTGTGAATACCTTCATCCTAAATTTGGGGTTTCTCAAGGATAATCTCAAATACAAAATATATCTGAATCACAATTTCAGAGAGGTTAAAGATTTTGATGTGGGAACACACCATTTTGTCATTGTGTCAGGTGGAATTGTTTTATGTATCTCAGTGCAAAGTAAAAATGTAAAGGGATCATCACTTTGGTGATAAACTGTCGGCTTCTAGACACACATTTTAACTGATTTACACCTGTTTTTCCTCTAGGATAGCTATCGTTATTTGATAGATCTTCTCCAACGGATCAGTGATAGCTGGGGGAACATTTCTTTAGCTGTATGCGAAAGACAAGACACTGGCAACCACAGTTGGACAAATACCAAGCAGGAAGGCCCTAGGATAGGTCAGAGAAACCTTGTGTTTAAACAACAGTAATGGGCAGCTTGACTGGCTGAAATTGATTGAAGAAGACAGTATCACAAGAGAGACTAACTTGAACTGTTCATGTATTTAAAAAAACCACTCTGACAACTATGTGGAAAATAAATTGGAGCGGTAGACAAAACTTGCTAAATCAGGATGAGTCTTACATTAGAATATGACTGAAAGTCAACGTACCAGTGTCTAGCAGTGTACATCTTTATTAATCAGAGTGAGCATTCAATTTATTAAAAGAATGAGCAAATAAAGGGATGAATGAAAAAAATAAATACTATATAAACAATTATTTAGCTTGACAGTATTTCCCAATCCAAAATACATTTATAGTGTGTGTTCTCACAAAAACCTAAAGTAAGTTTGTGACTGGTGAAAATTATGAAAAGCAGATTTTATCAATAGGAGACACCCTCCTGATGAACTGTCAGGAATAATGGAAAGAGTTAGTCTCTCTGGTTTCCTTTTTTTTTTTTTTTGAGAGGTTTTTGCCATAGGGCGTGTGTGCTCGCCAGACAGAGAGAGAGACAGAGAGACAGAAAGCGAGAAATCAACCCCCAGGGAGGATGGCCACGCCACAATCCCCTCTCCTCCATTCTCCTCTCAGGACCCTGGGCATGCACGCACACGCACCCGGTGTTGTTTTAAGCCACCGGGTCCGGGACGCGAACCACAGTCAACTACATGGGAGTCCAGTGACATAGCCATTATGCTAACTGCTGGTCCCTCTCTGATTTCATTTTTAAGTAGGACAATCTCTCCTATGTACTGTGGGTTTTTCCACTAGACTAAAGAATTAGTTTTGTGAATACCTTCATCCTAAATTTGGGGTTTCTCAAGGATAATCTCAAATACAAAATATATCTGAATCACAATTTCAGAGAGGTTAAAGATTTTGATGTGGGAACACACCATTTTGTCATTGTGTCAGGTGGAATTGTTTTATGTATCTCAGTGCAAAGTAAAAATGTAAAGGGATCATCACTTTGGTGATAAACTGTCGGCTTCTAGACACACATTTTAACTGATTTACACCTGTTTTTCCTCTAGGATAGCTATCGTTATTTGATAGATCTTCTCCAACGGATCAGTGATAGCTGGGGGAACATTTCTTTAGCTGTATGCAAATTGTCTATGAAACCCATAAAGCCAGGCTATATGCTCACAGTGAGATCTGTTATGAAAGTAAGCTGTAGAAATACATCAGATTAAGAGCACATCAATGGCCTTCAGAGTCATTGATGGACCAAATTACATAGTGGTGTTGGACAATATGAGAGTTCTGAGCATTCCTGAATTTTCAAAAATTGATCAAAAATAGCCTCATCAGAGGCAAATCAGAAATCAATCATTGCTTCATTGCTTGGATACCCAAAGACAGTCTCACTTAAAGTATGTGTTTTGAAAAATTATTGTAAGAAAAATTTAGAGTTTAAAATGAGATCTATTAGTTGTTGATAAACTAAATTGAGATAAAAATCAATGAAAAAAAAAAGCCTTCTTGCCATATTTTCAAGGAACAGGATTTAACTCCCTTGATTTGGGTCATTACAGTACTGTTAGGCTTTCACCTTTTGACAACAAAGAAAAGGAGAAAATGTAGGAATAGAGAAATTTCACTTTCCAGTGAACCATATGAAAGTAAGGAAATACATATTGCTACTGAGGAATAAGGGATTTGGATCAAAATCTAGGACAAACTTCATAAAAACTTAAAAAAGGCCCTGTTCTTTCTCTTCTGTCAGTTGAAGGGATTAAGAACTCCCTTATGAGCCAGACAGAAGATGTTTATATCTGAGTTCTGAGTTCCATTGTCATTCCTATTAGATATGGTGCAAGATATTGAAAACTTTTATATCAGGGTCAGCTGGGGGTGTAGTAGTTGACATGGCTAGATCCCACATGGCCAACTGCAAAATTCAAATTCTGGATCTGGTGACTTGAAAATCACACTGGGAATGTGTGTGTGCATGCCCAAAATCCCAAGAGGAGAAATGGAGAAGAAGTGATTGCAGTGTGACTATCCCTTCTGGGAGGTTGTTTTATCACTTTCCCTTTCTTTCTCTCTTTCTCTCTCTCCAGTAAGTGTATAGCAAAATTAGAAAAATATAAACACACACAACTTTTACATCAGTTTCCTAATGTGTAAAAGATATTTATAATTATCTTTAGAATTATTGAAATGATTAAATGAGGTAACATATTTATAACTTTTGCCCAGGACCTAGAAAAGTATTTTTAAATAGTAATTAAAATAGTTACAATAATAATAATAATAATAATATGATATTTATACCATAAACATAAAGTTAATAATTACATAAAAAGATGAACAAGAATGTAGTAGAGAAAAGCATAAGTGTGTCTGGACAATCCCTTGTGGAAAATATTGTTTGGAGTTGTTTGTGAGTTAAATCACGTGTTTGTCATATAATTTTGCAGATTAAAAACTGAGGAGTCCTTTGGCATTTGTGTTACATAAATGCCCTGGCTCATAGCCAGGAGCAGGGGCATTGATTACAGGAAATAATTGTGTGGTTTTGGAAGATACCACTGCTGCAAACCTGGCTTTATCCATACCCTTACACATCTGTGCCATGGGGAAGCAAGTGATGTTCAGGTTTAAACATCAAGCAATTCAGGGACCACACCTAGGTGGATTTTATGCCCGTGAAGAGAAAGCTGGTACCTGTCATGTCTTGTTAGAAGTAGTTTGTGTAGACTTGTAAATAGGAAAGCATTGCTGAATCTGCTGGGCTGAATGAGTCTGATGTCTAAGGGAAAACAAGTTTGCTTCTGTAGGAAAAGAGCCTGGAGAATATATCTGGATAGGAGAGCCTATGGACTATTTTAGAAGATTCAGAAGCTCAATACAAGGGCTCACATTTTTCAGGGATGAAAGTGGTCCAAGGAATACTAAACCCTCAACAACCTGGTGAGCTGATTGAGGGAAACACGGCATGGATAATATTGAGAAGGATGGAAATTATAAGTACCAGTCATATCCTCGCAATCAGTTGAGAGGTGCTTTCTGTTCCTCCCTCTCCCTCTCCCTGTGCCCCCTTCCTCCCACCCCTGTGAGTGTACACACCCTCTGGCAATTAAAAACAAGAGAGTGAGAGCAAGGGAGAGAACATTTCAATGTAATGTGAAGAACAGACTTAGAGTTAAAAAGTAAACGTTGGGAAGTACTATATGTTTCTTTCCTTTTTTGGATAATCTCTATGAAAATTGTATTTATAATCTTTCTTAACATATCATTTGAAATTCTGAAAAGTCTTAGAGCAGAGACACCTGTTTACCTTTGTTTATACCACCGTTAAAGATATTCAGAGTGAGGATTGCAGATGAGGCGGTCACACTAGTCATATGTGACTTCCCTAAGGTATGGGAAGAAAGAATTAGAGTTAAAAGGCGATCCTCTAGATGCCAACTCTACAAGCTGGAAGATGTTTTTTGAGCAAAGTATACACTATCCTTAATTTAGAGTTGATTATCTAATAAAAAATGTTCTAATAAAATGTACTAAAACATGGTTTAGAAGTGCTCTTTTCAGTGAACAGGCAGAGATCAAGCAGACTTGATATGTATACAGTGTTTTACAGAAGTACCAACATCTTTTTCCCAGTTGAAGGTAGAGGAGACAATACATGACCATGGGTCAATGCAGAGGTTCTGTTCATTAGTATCTTATTGTTTCCTGTTGGGTGTGACAGTCTTTTAAGCAGGAAGGAGGATAATGGTAGGTTCCAGGTTCACTTCTCCAAGGTTGTTCCTACTCTCAAGGCTCCTCCCTAACTGGTAAGCTCTAAATCTGACTCAGCTTTTGCTCTCTTTAGAAAACTGGCTGTATACAGTCTTGTTTCTCTCTTTACATACTGTCAGCTCTCCAACACTGCAAATCCTATGCTCCTTGAAAGGTCCTTAGTAGATCAGGAAGTAACAGAAATCTATTTAACAGCGTTTTTATTGGCAAAAAAAGATGCACATGGTCCATTTTCCAATGAGGTCTAAAAGGAACTCAACAGGAAAAACAGAAGCCGCCAAACAGTGCTTCTCACCACCCTTCAGATTGAATTGGAGGAGAAGTGCCTGCAAGCCAATTTCTGACCATCTCCTTTTCTACACAGCTTAATGGATGGCTTGGCACACCTCTGGTTTCCCTCAGACTTGGGCACAAGTGCTTATTCCTTTCTCATAATGAGATTTAATCAAGCAAAGCCAAAACCATTGCTACAAGTTAAACACTCCCCAGGGACAGGGAGCCAATGACTGGGGGAGTAATGAACCTCTATTTAACTTTCAGATTTTGTTAATAACAGTTTGACTTGTACTGGTTGGAGCTAATTAGTTACTGCAGCTTCTCCATTAGTGGCTTATAAAATGGGGCTTACCTTGTGCATATTAAGCAATTTTCTCAGTGTGGGCCATTTTAGAGAAAACAGAAGGAAACTAAGTGTCTTAAGCATGCATGATTATTGTACTTTGTTGTGGCTTACTTTTACATAAAGTTTCAAGAATGTCTACAGATCAAATTTTGACCCCTCAAAGGATATACTAAGATAAAATGATTTGTGTGTGTTTGGGATCAAAGAAATTACTGTAAAGCATTAAAGAGTGAAGATTTATTTGGGATCAACTCAATTACTGTAAAGCATTAAAGAGTGAAGATTTTATTTATCTCATTCCAGGCAACCCAGATATGGTATAAATCCTTAGATCTGGTAGCAGTTACAAAAGTAGGATGCCACCAGTGTTGAGTAATGAGTTGGGAGGTTCTCCTTGGAGTGAGAGGTCTTCATTATGTTCTTAGGCTTGCAATGTTTGACATTGTTCCCCAAACAGATTGCTTCCATTGTTAATATTATTTCCCAGAAAAAAGCATTTTCTAATAAAATCAGACAAGGATCTTAATTACAAACATAACATCTTAAAAACACCAGAGTAGGGCTCAGGTAACATCAGGGCAAAAAGCAGAGAAGCAAGGATCATAACTTCAGACTCTGGTAGCTTTAGAAGATGTTTGTGTGCACTGTGACATATGTTCTT